CAACGCCGACAAGTTCCAGCGCAACAAGGACCTCACCGACCGGCGCATGAAGGCGGTGGAGAACGCGGGCGCCTTCCGAGCGCCGACGAACGCGGCGAGGAGCTTCAACCCTCAGTACGGCGACGTGCAGCAGCTGGGCGCCGTGGACTCCATGACCGTCCGCAGCACCGAGGGCTGGGAGACCCTGCTGAAGCTGGCGCTGCCGGCGCCGCAGGGCAGAAGCAGGCCAGGCAGCTGGACGACTTCCTGGCGCCTCCGCGGCCCAGGACCCTCGACTAGCCTCCTTGAGGCAAAAACAGTTTTGAGGCATTGCGCAGGGCTGGGAGAATTCCCGGAGCCTGCTCAGCTCCTTTTCGGGGAAAAATCAGTTTTGAGGAAGCGCGCTCTGCAAAGAAGTGTGCTCTGCAAAGAAGCGTGCTCTGCAAAGAAGCGTGCTCTGCAAAGGAGCGTGCTCTGCAGAGGAGCGTGCTCTGCAGAGGAGCGTGCTCTGCAAAGGAGCGTGCTCTGCAAAGGAGAGTGCTCTGCAAAGAAGTGTGCTTTGCAAAGAAGTGTGCTCTGCAAAGAAGCGTGCTCTGCAAAGAAGAGTGCTCTGCACCCCTTCCGCGCCCCCGAAGCTGACTCGCCCCCCGTCCCCTTCGCGCCCCCGAAAAAAAGAAGACGACAACACACACAACTCCAAAGCTGACTCGCCCCCCGTCCCCTACGCACCCCCTGAAAGCTGACTCGCCCCCGAAAAAAGGAAGACGACAACACACACAACTCCAAAGCTGACTCGCCCCCCCGTCCCCTACGCACCCCCTGGAAGCTGACGCAGAAGACAACACACACACCCCGGAAGCTGACTCGCCCCCCGCCCCCAAAAAAAAAGCAGACGACAACAGCAACAGTTTCACCCCCAACCCCAAAGCTGACCCGCCCCCCTTCCCCCTTCGCACCCCCGGAAGCTGACTTGCCCCCCGCCCCCCCAAAAAAAAGCAGACGACAACACACACAACTCCAAAGCTGACTCCCCCGTCCTGGCAGAGCACACTTCCCGGCAGAGCCTCTTCCTGGCAGAGCCCGCTTCCTGACAGAGCCCGCTTCCTGACAAAATTCCTGCCTGACAAAATCCCTGCCTGACAAAATTCCTTCCTGACAAAATTCCTTCCTGACAAAATTCCTGCCTGACAAAATTCCTGCCTGACAAAATTCCTGCCTGACAAAATCCCTTCCTGACAAAATTCCTGACAAAATCCCTTCCTGACAAAATTCCTTCCTGGCAGAGCACACTTCCTGACAGAGCACACTTCCTGACATGTGTCAAACGAGGCTGCCCTGACTTTGCGCCAGGCTCATCGTGGTATGAGCAGGGCAAGGCCGGAGTCGGGGTAGCCTTTGCCGGCATGGGCAACTGTGAAGGCTGCGTACGGGGACCGGTGTGGGGCCCGTCCAGCACTCGCCAGTTCAGCTGCAGGCACTGGCAGCCGCAGATGCCTGTGCCGAAGGCGACTTGGTAGGTATAGGTGGCTGGGCAATCACTTCATCACAAGTGGTTTGGTTTGCCGAAACCTGGAACATGCAGGACATACGGGCAGTATGGCCTTGCCTTGTCAAGCCTGGACAGCGCTACATCGCATGTTTCGAAACGCTGGCGCAGTTGGCGCTGCTGCAGGCCACCCATAGCCACATTGGTGGTGGGCACTACTCATTCAGCATGCCTTCAGGCACTGATAACTCGGCAACAGAAGCAAGCCTTAACAAGTTGTTCACGACTTCTTGGCCGCTGCAACTCTTCGTGCAGCTCACAGCTTTCTGGGCGCATGCACACAATGTGTTGTTGCAGCCCACACATGTTCCAGGCAGGAACAATGATTGGGCAGACGACCTAAGCAGAGCTCGGCTAGCCCGATTCAGCCATCGCCCAGAGAGTCGCGTACGCTTCAGCCCCGCAGGCCTTGCGCTGTCAGGCAGAGGCATCCAGCTGTGTCCGATTGATGCGCCCTGGCGCCCGGAACACCTAGCAGCTGCTGCCAGGCGTCGCGACCCGACATCGCCCTGGCAACCAGAATATCTGGCTGCATCTGTCAGCAGCTTCACAGCAAGCCGCTTTGGCGAAAATGAGCAGTCCCAGAACAGCAAATGCTCATAAGCATGTAAATGCAATGTCGTGCGACATTTGCCCTGCCAGGTACAACCCCACTCTGAAGGGGGGGTGATGAGGCCGGCGGCCCAGCTGGCTCGCTTATACCGGGGTTGCCTGAAACACTGAAGGGGGGGGTCAACGCACCTCCTGCTCCAGGCGCATCCGTGCCCTGGAAGCAGTGCTACTTTCAGCAATCCCGGTTAAAAGAGCTGCGGCCGCTTCGGACTTGCTTTGTTCTTTTGGGTGGTCTGGTTTGGGTTCAAGATAGGAGCAGTGCAACATGCCTTAACGCTTAGGGTTTTCTTTTCCCTTGTGTTTAGGGCATGTTGTGAATCTACTTCCGCGGTGGCCGTTTTGCTCCTAGCCTTGACCCAAACTTGATCTGTTTCATTTGAAACCCACCCACCCACCCTGCATTGCCTTTTCTATAAGGCTCTGCAAAGGAAGTTGCAGATGCTCTGCGTTTCCATCCATGGTCTCCGGACCTCCGGGTCTCCGGACCGCCCACGGTCTCAGGACCACCAGGTCTCCGGACCGGCGTGGGCACGCTTGCCACGCCTTGCGCGCACTGCACGCACCTGCAAGGACACGCATTGTCTTGCCTTTAAGTTTCACGGGGGGTCAACGCACCTCCTGCTCCAGGCGCATCCGTGCCCTGGAAGCAGTGCTACTTTCAGCAATCCCGGTTAAAAGAACTGCGGCCGCTTTGGACTTGCTTTGTTCTTTTGCGTGGTCTGGTTTGGGTTCAAGATAGGAGCAGTGCAACATGCCTTAACCCCACCGAGAATGAAGTAGCGGACAAAATGCGAGCAAACGACAATTGGGAGGCGAGGCAGACAGTTACAGCTTTGTTAAGTCCTGCACAAATCCATAGACAAGGTCGCATTGTGCGCAGTTTTTTTTCGCGCATGTTTTGTTGTCTCAGTCTCACCCAACTTGCCATCTTGTGTTTTTCTTCGGAGCGCGGGGTGCTGATAGGGGGAGGAGCTGTCAGGTTTTGGGTTTCATTTGCCCTCAAACCCCAAGTTTAGGGTTTAGGGTTTGGTTATGGTATTTGGGTTTTAGGCGTTTAGGTTGCCCTCAAATGACCCATCGAAAAGCCGCATTCTGAGCGCATTTGCTCGGGGCAGACCATTCGATACCAGACGCGGGTGCTATCGCTGGCAGGCGCGATGGAATCTGAGCGCGCGAGGCCGCCGGGAAGAGAGTTTCCGGGCAAACCACAAGTGCTGGCCGTAGTAGTAATAGTAGTAGTAGTAGTAGTAGTAGTAGTAGCAGCAGTAGTAGTAGTAGTAGTAGTTCAGTAGTAGTTTAGTAGTAGTAGTAGTAGTTTAGTAGTAGTAGTAGTAGTAGTAGTAGTAGTAGTAGTAGTAGTAGTAGTAGTAGTAGTAGTAGTAGTAGTAGTAGTAGTAGTAGTAGTAGTAGTAGTCGTAGTAGTAGTAGTAGTAGTAGTAGTAGTAGTAGTAGTAGTAGTAGTAGTAGTAGTAGTAGTAAGTATAATAATCATATATTAAAAAACAAAACAATGAAGTAAATATGCACCGACATAATATTAACCATCATTCATACATTGGTTTTTTCAGTTGTAGTATTACTCACCTAAGTGTTGGTTTTATGTTTAACAGGTTTAAAAGTAATTAAGTGTTTTCTGTTCGTGTTGGAAAGGTCCCTGCCACATATTTGCATATGTTTGTGTCGTTTAAGTTGTTTGCGTGCACGCTGGGTGGTATTAAGTATTCTTACAACCCGAAGCGCGTTATTGTACGCAAGCAAATGTTTATTACAGTGAAGGTTTTTTTACTATGCAACGAAGGATCGAGTGTACAATTGTCAACAATTTAGAGTATAACTCCCTTGTTATTATCTTGTTGGTTTTGTGTTTGACTGTCCGTTGTCATGCTTCCTGAGCACGGACGTAGTTCAGGCTGGACCCCAGGCGGCACCGTGGGAATACAAGCAACTACGAGTTGTTATCTGCTGTTTCAGGCATGAGGACCACGAACCTTGTAAGAGGGGTAAATGCGATTCCTCCCAAATTGCAACACGGGCCATTATCCTAAGCACCATTACTGGTAACTCTCAAATTGAGTCTGAGGTTGACACAATCTCCTTCAAAATGGCGCTATACTGCAGATCCCTGGCTCAGTTTTGCACGTGGGAGCATGGCAGCAGATGTACCTAACAACCAAGGTTAAAGGCGCACGGGTAGCAAAATACAGGAAAACCCAGAGCCGGCTTGGGGCCCCGTGTCAGGGGGGCAGGAGGAAACAACCAGATGTTTGAGGGCAAGTGGAAGAGGCCGATGCAGAATTCAGTTGGGATCTTTGCTACGATATTGTTTATCCGCACTGTTCCTTTTGTCTGGTGAAGTAGTTTGTTGGTCTGGTTTGCAGTACCGTGTTTGCAGTGCTTTCTTCAGTCTGTTGCCCTCCATTGCCATCCGAACATCAGGACGTCACATGATTTCTGTGAACAAATGTGGACAGCATGCTTTTGCCAGCAACATGCAGCAAAATTTCCCGCCTTTTTCCGCCAAACGTTGCTGCAGTGAAGCAGGATGCGTCCTCGGTGATTCAGCGGTTGAAATGGACAATTGGCAATCCGAGACTCGATCTGAGATGAACACGTTCCACCCTTTCCACCTTGAAATTTCCATCCGTTCCAAGCTCTCCAAACATATTTCTTGGGGACTTCAAGTCTTGTTGCAGAGACATGCCGAATCTTGAATCGTGCTGCATGATCAGCGTCAGTAAGCTATTGGAATGTAGCTTTTGGTAGCCAGTCAGTATGATTTTGTTCAATAGATTCGCATATTCGATCCGCAGCTGTTCGAGCCAAGGCTGCGCTGCGAGACTTGATATGAAAAGAAACCACTACAGAGAAACCTTACTTGACAAGAGTGGGAAATTTGGATTTCTGCATTAATTTGAACGTGCCATCGTGAAACTAAAATCCTTTCGCCACGAATGCGTGCGTTTCCGTTCTGGACTTGATGTCACAGAGCGCCTGCACTGTGCCGCCCTGGAAGGTCAAAGCGTACTACTTCGCAAGTTTCGGTTTCTTTGCAACCTTTGAGCGATATGCCACGTTGTACTTTGAAGCTGATGGCTTTAGTGCTTCACAAATCGGCTTCATGATTGCAATGCGTCGTGCGATCCAAACATTGGCAACTGCATTTTGGAATGCTCTTGCCGACAGAACGAAGCGGGCACGGACCATCCAGTTGGCCACCTTGGCCATTAGTGCTGCTCCATTTTTATGCCTCAGCATTCCAGTTGACCACGATGAGCGCGGTTTCATTCAGCGCTGCCTTGGGCTTTGGATATTTTCTTTCATAGGAACGCCGTCCACATCTATCATGGATGCTCTTGCCCTGGCTGCATGCAAACAAGATGCCCAGAGATGGGGTGAGGCGCGAATCTATGGAGCTGTTGGTTGGGGTGTGGTGCACCTGTTGCTAGGGCCCATGATGGATCTCCTGGGCTTCAACCTGATGTTTGATTCCTTTGCATTTATGGGAGGTATACTTTTTGTGGTGACTCTGGAAATGCCAGAGTCTTGTGGTGATTCGGATGCAAAGGTTAGCGCAAGATCCATTTGGAACATTTTCAAGAATAACCGTTTCTTCTTTTGCAACATTGCAGTACTTGGTGCAGGCTTTGCCATGGTGGAAGGGATGCTTTTTTTGCTTTTGCGCGACATGAAGGCTTCTACCATGTTGTGCGGCTTGTCGGTCGTGGTGACTGTCATTTTTGAACTCCCAATCTTTGCACGCTCGCAGACCTTGCTGGACCGTTATGGCACCCGTAGGCTTTTGGCTGCCGCGCAAGCAGCTTGGGTGGTACGAGCCGCTTTTTACTGGAAGATGTCAGTTGCCTGGATGGTCTTGCTGGTGGAGCCTTTGCATGGCATTACCTTTTCCCTTGCCTGGATTGGTGCCATTGACTACGTAGCAAGGCCGGAGATTTGTGAGGGCTTGGAAGCATCAGCACAGGGCATCCTTTCAGCCAGCTTCCATGGCGTGGGACCCATCATCGGCTTGCTGGGCGGGGGCTTCCTATTTGATACTCTGGGGAGCCACGAGGCCTACATGGTTTTCGCAGCATGCGTGATGATTTCTGGCTTGGTTTATTGGAGGTACAGCTCAGATCCCAAGATGTCTCCTTCACAGAATCCGCACACAATCGGGAAGACAAGGGAGTCATTAGAACTGGCTTGCCGCGTGGACTCACGTTGAGCCAAGTGAGTGCAAAAAGGTGCGGATCGCGCAGGAATTTTGATGCGCTCGGGTCACATTCCATGATCCCCGAAAAGCTGAAGGGGTTTCACAGCCTTCCTCTGACATTGTCAAAGTGGCTAGCGGCATGGCCTGAAGGGCGTGCTCGGTTTGCGCAGACCATCATGTTTCATTGTTGTGAAGCACAAGTTGAGGCTTGAGGCACAAAGGATGGAAAAGACTAGCTGGGTGCACCCGTTCAACCACACACACACACATCCTTTCAATTAAGAGCGGTTGGACATGGCCAAGCCAATGTGGCTAGATTTCCTCGCTTCTGTTTCTGCAGCAGGGTGCCATGCTAGGCTCAGTCACACTTGTTGTTGGTCCATTTTCCAGTGTCAGTCAATTCACAAAAGTTGTGTGGAGGTGAACGCTATGAAGACAGCACACTTTCAGGTCTTCTAAGTTCCGCCAGGTCACACTTTCTTGAAGTGCCAGGACCAAGCAGCAAAGCATAATTTTGTGCGGAAAGGTTCTTGCAAGCTGTACATCATCACTGCTGCCATAATGCTCGAGACGAACAGGGCAACGCATGGACCTCGAAATGGGCTGCGAACCCCTCTACTATGCGGAGATGTTGGTTGTTTTTTGTGATTGTCCTTGCCTCGGGTCAGAGAGTGCATTCAAGGCATAAATGCAGATATCACATGCACACACAGACACACACCACACACACACATATATATATATAGACGCACAAAACACAGTCATACACACACACAATAGCAAAGACGAATGCGAACGGGCACGAACACGCGCACGAGTACGAACGCACACGCGCACTCGCACAAGCTCACAAGCGCGTGCAAACACAAGTACATGCACACGCGCAGGCACCTGCATTCGCACCCGCACGCGCACGCGAGCACACACACACACACACACCCACCCACCCACCCACGCACCCAACCACCCACCCACCCACCCACCCACCCACGCACGCACGCACGCACCCACCCACCCACCCACGCACGCACGCACGCACGCACGCACGCACGCACGCACGCACGCACGCACGCACGCACGCACGCACGCACGCACGCACGCACGCACGCACGCACGCACGCACGCAGCACGCACGCACGCACGCACGCACGCACGCACGCACGCACGCACGCACGCACGCACGCACGCAC